TGATCGAAAGTTCGGTAATTTAAGTCATTCTAACTATTTTTCGTTTTGAATGGATTCTTGTCACTTTTTTCACATTTTAAATGAATTGTTTCTTTTATTTTTGTGTATGGTTAATAACCGAATAACCGAACCAAACCAAACCGAAACCGATAATCACCAAACCGATAAATGTATATTATATTTGGTTTGGTTTGGTTTTGATAATTTTAAAACCGATTAAGTTGGTTTGGTTTTGGTTTTGACCAATAACCGATCCAAATCAACCCGTGAACACCCCTAGTTTTATGCATAAGTACAGAGAGTGTTCAAAAATAAAAATAAAATATGAATACTGCAGGCTTTTTAGTGAGACACTAGAAAATAGGAATCATTGAAACATTTGTATACTTCCAATAAGATGGAAGAAGTCATTTTGGCCTTTGTTAGGTGGACGAGAAATCATTTATCAACAAATTATTGTTTAGATAGCCAAATTCATCTCATCAAATCTAATATAAAAGGTGCGTGAAATGATCTATAAATTACATAATTTACAAAGAAGCACCTCCGCAAATATTGAATCCATTTTGAGTTTAAGTGCTAGGTAGCTAAAATATAACATTAAGGGAATGTTCATCATCCTCTGATCCATAACTTGCATTCTTGGTACCCTGTAATTTCTAAAAAAATTTATCTTACATATTAGTTGAAATCATAAAATCATATATAGAAGAGTTTGATACCAACTAACACGTATATACATGCAAGCACGTACCCAAAAACTAGTATATATATATAGGAGAATGTTAGACTTGCTGATGTGGCATGTCTCTAAGGCCTTGATTCCTATTTATCTTTTTTTGTGGTTTTTTTCAACTTTTTTCTTCATTTTAAAATACATAAAATATTATTCAAAGTTTTGTAGAATATTAAAGCATAGTATTTAATTCTCTCCTCATTAAAACATAAACATAAAAGTTTCAGTTATCAATTCTTTGTCATAAAAGACATTTTCCTTATTTAAAAAAATTTAAGAGAATTTATTCCTTATCGTTAATTGTAGAATTTGAAAAGTTTTTTCACGAGTTATCTCTTCTGCATACAAGTTTAATTTGGAATATACTAATATATATATATATATAAAGTAGAGTAGCTACTCATAGAATATTTCAAACAATATGGTACAAGCTACAAGGTAGGCACCAACTTCTATTGATATGTTTATTCGTACCGTAGCACTAGAAAAACTCATGGTTTGATTAGCTCTTTTCTCAATATTTCATATTTTTGTACGATTGTGTTTCATATATCTTTTTTGTTTTAATTATTTTTCTTATTTTCTTTACCTTTTAAATTTGACAGGGACATCAAACAAGTTTCATTGAACTGTTTCCGTGAGAGAAAAATGTAACAATGCACCAAAACAGTAAAATAAATCATGAATGAAAGAAAGATAACAAGCAACGGAAAAAGAACAACAAAAACGAAAAAGCTCTCTGAAAGTGTCACAACCCAGACCATCGTGCATTGACACCCGGTCCACACTAACTCTCCGGTAGGCGAACTATTAATATTAATTAGCTAACCAAACAACTAAGACATTTAAAGATACGAAAGCAGGTTTAAATGCTAAAGAAAAGATAGGGAGTTCCCATAAACTCCAACAAAAGTCTAACAACTCAAACTAACATTGCGGAAATAACGCCTAGAACCTAAAAGTCAATGTACCAACACATCTAAAGTTCAACCATAAGTCTAAGCAAGAAGGGTACAACCCCAAACCAAACATAAGACTAACTAAAATACTAGTTTATTTAAATGAGCTCGTGTGTTTTTATACCTGCATCATGTACGTCATACATTCATTCCATACATTAGATGTATGCGTTACACGTTCAAGTATTGATTTCTTATTTAATTAATTGTGTTGAGATTAAACTCCTTTGGTAACATGAACTACTTGTTTGGTATGAACATAGATAACTCAATCCGCCAAGAATTGAACAAATGAGTAGTTACACTTCTTATCCATCCATTTTTAAAGGAAAATAAAGCTAATTGTTGCTCTTGTAACATAACAATGTGTGTTCAAAAACTGCTCGGATACTCCAAAATGTTGCTGCACTCTTGTCGGATCCTAAAAAACAATTATTTTTAAAGAGTCCGAGCAATATAGATTATATCTTACAAGGTGCAAGTTCAGACCTTCTGATAATAAATTCAAAAGTAACTCCTTGCAATCATAAGAAAACCAGACATGGTACTACATGTCCATGTTGATAGTACATTATCCTACTAGAAAGCTGCTGCACTTATTTTACTAGTAAAATCTGTTGAGATTTCATTAGACAAATTACTAAAAACTTCAAGAAACTTAAAAAAACTTGTTCATTACTGCTTAAATATCACTGACAAGATTCCCAGCAAACATGTTTATATAAGAGAATGAGCTGATTTTCACGATGTTTATGATGGAATAAACATTCTAATTTCAGCAAAGGCAGTGCATTTGATTTGTAGTAAACTAGTAATTATACCAGAAGTAAACAATCAAGCTCAATAACACATCAAAATTTCCAAAGGAAACCAATGTTCTTTTTTTTAGTACTCATATCATAACACATCATGGCTAAACAGAACTAACCAATGCTACCTTAAATATAGGGATGTGAGAACCAATTTGAGTAATCAATCACTTATGTTTTTAATCTGCCTCAAGCAAGCCACCCCAACCCTACTACCAAAAAGTCGTCCATATAGTGCAGGAGTGCTCATTATTTTTCGCTTACTCTTTCACTTCCATTTCAAATCCTGACGTTCATAGGAGCAGAACAAGTCTTTGCTCATAAGATTTCAGCCTACCAACGGTATGGACCTTAAATGGCACACACACATACTCTCTTCACGGTTAATATACTAAAATAAGACAAATAAAAACCCCGTGCTACCCTCAAATACTCAAAAATGCCAGATGAGAAAAATTTCCAAAACGACATAATTATCAAATAGCAATCTATAGTTCACTAATTCACCTAATGAGATTAATGAAATGATATTCCAAAGCAAACTTACTTAACTTTTATCTCATAAGAACCAGTCACCTCCTGAGGAGTCTTAGACTTGGGGATTAGCATCCTAAGAACACCATTCTTCAAGTTTGCTTCCATAGACTGAGCCTGATACGAATTCGAACAGATTTCAATGTTAGCACTGTAGGTTCTTCCGCTGTCCTCATGCGTAGACTCCTTCTTTCCTTCACCCTTTATGATGATAGTCCGAGACGAAATCAACACCTTCACGTCTTCTTTATTAATTCCCGGCATTTCCATTCTCACGTACATCCCCTCCTCTATATTCTTAGCCTCGTATGCCCCACAAGGTCCAGAAATTTGAAACGGATTTACCATGTATATATCACATACACCTTGACAGAGAGTATGAAAGAAAACCCCAAAATTATCAGACATTTCAAAAATTGGAATTGAAAAGACGCAAAAATTGTTCCAGACATAAAATAAATGAATAGAATCAGCTCTCTCTGACATATGGTAAGCAATTTAACATCAGCTCTTAAATTTGAGTCTGAGTTAACAATATTTTCAGGTACTTAGCAATGTTATATCAAAGGCAAAAGGCTCAAAAAAACCACTCTAAGGCCTGTTAGGTCTTTAAGAAATAAAGGCTCTAATGAAGAAAAGCCTATATGCCTAATTCAAGTCAAATAATTATAAGAATGAATAACAAATATATGGACAAAGAAATTGAAACAAAATTTCAATCGTTATCTTTAGAATTAACCTAATTGGCAAGGAAAAGTATGTCTTAGAGCCTTAATGGGAATAAGGAAGCGCGATCAACATGCTTTGAAGTGTTAGAACTGATCACGAATCTTATGAGATTACACTAGATATATTATTATTGTTGAAGAAGTGATCACGGAATAAAACAAAAAGGATATTCAAAATTCTGCAAAACAAAATTGGGCTAAAGAGAGAAAAAAAAAAACGATACCGCGTTGTATAGAGAACTGCTCAGATCGAACAAAGGAACCTCCACAGGCATTGATGATGAAGCTTTCTTCATTGGAATCCGTAACAGAAACACTACCTGCGTAGCTTAAAAAACGAGAAGTTAACGGAGCAAGCGAACCAGTAAGTCCTCGTGAAGAAGGCGCATTGTTGAGTAAGTTGGAGAAAAGAATTGATGAAGAGCTCATTCTCCGTAAAGCAGTACGAAACGCCATTGTTGTAGCAGAACAGAGTTGTTGCAATAATCTTCTCGCCCAAGCAGAAAACAGAGTTTTGTATTGAGATATGTCTTGACCTTCAAGCCAGCTCCCCCAATATTTACGCTAAAAATGTGACTGGACAGGGTAAAATAGACTTTATTCATTTTTTTAAAAATATAGCCTTTATAATAGGGGATTTTAACTACACTAGGTATGTAATTGGGATTTTAACTACTTTAGGTATGTATGAAAGAATTATATTAAAAATAAATATTTAAAGTATCTTTTCAATACTCTCTGAAAACCCTACTCAGCAGCAGCCACCGCCGCCGTCTTGAGCCTTGCAATGTAGATCTTTCTTTCTGTTCATCTCACCAGCCAAGATTCTAGCATTTCCAGATCCAATAAGAGGGATATTTTCATTTCCATAGAGAAACCCAGCATACCAAGATGACACAAAAGAGGATGAAGTCGGTGAGGGGAACATTAGCAAATCGAGAAGCTCCAAGGATGACACCAAAGGCAGGGATGATGAAGAAGAAGATATCCAATGCAAATACCACAAAAGGCAATCGGATTAGCGATATCAAAAAGTTCAATCTTTCAAGATGCCAACAAAAGAAAAAGAAGAAATCAATTCATACTTGCCGCATTGTGGAGATGGATAATTCTGCCCATTCTCAGGGATCAATTATTTCCCAACAAGACTTACTAAGGCAGATCCTCAGTTGTTTGCCCGTGCAATCTCTTTTACGATTCAAATGTGTTGCAAAATCTTGGGATATAACATCCGATCCTTACTTTAGATTTAAGCATAATGTCAATTCCCTTAGATTTCTTCTTGCCCATACCAACTTCCGTCGCCCTCAGAATGTTCATAGCTTATATTCTACTTCTTCTTTATCCTCCCCTGACGACCTACAAAATATTGATTATCTCCCTTCAGATGATACACGTTTTCATATACTATGTGGTTCTTGTGATGGATTGGTTCTCATCCGAATTCCTAATAGACACAATCATGAGCTTCTCTTGTTGTGGAACCCCTCAACAAGAGAATCAGTACATATTCCCTTTCCTATATTTGGATTAAAAAATTCTACTTTTGGATTTGGATATGACCCAACTACTCATGACTATAAGATACTTGCAATTCACAAAATCAAATCACAACTACAATGTGGAATTCTCGCACTAAAAAGTGGTTCTTGGAGAAATGTTTATATTGAGTCACCTATCTTATTTACAACTCGGAAGGATCTGTTCGGTTTTGAGAATCCTTTGTCATTTGTACATGGAGCATTTCATTGGGTTACTTGGCGTCTTTGTGTGGGTTCATTCAATATTTCAAATGAGGTATATACAATTATACCATTCTCAGAGCAAATGTCCTCTTATCTTTCCCATGCTGTCTCCGGGGACTTTCATGTTTCAATATTAGATGGAATGGTTTGCTTTTCTTCTGCTTGTAAGGTTGATGGGGAGTATGCTTTTACATTGTGGGAAATGAAAGAGTATGGTGTCAAAGAATCTTGGACTCAATTATTTAAAATAAAAATTGCCCCTGTTTCTATAGTCAAACCTGTTTATAGGTTTGCAGATGGTGATGTACTCTATCAGTGCCGCAATATAATACGTGATTCATTCAGGACATCCAAAGGAAGATTTCGGTTATGGTGTGATTCATTGGCTAAACGTGGTGACATGATTAATATATTCACTTTCAACGAAAGTTTGATCGATCCAAAGACACTTATTTAATATTTGGTTACGTATGATTGAGTCGTTCTTATGTTCATCACATGTAACAAACTCTTAAATTTTGTTTTTTTTTTTTGTCATTTCTGAATTGATCTTTGTTGAATGCACCTGGGAAAAAAAAGTATCTTTTCAATTTTACCTGAAGGTTAAATATTATAAAATTTAAAATTTAGAAGTGTTGCATGCGAGGATAGCACCAATTCTTCCTAATATCATATCACAAAATCAGTCGGGATTTATGAAAGGAAGAAGTACTGCAGAAAATGCTCTTTTAGCTCAAGAGATTATCAGAGATATTAATAGAAGAAATGAATTTCATAATGTGGTGGTGAAATTAGATATGACAAAAGCATACGATAGGGTGTCATGGATTTTCCTTACAAAAGTTATGAGGAACTTTGGATTTGATGAAAGAATTATTGATATGGTATGGAGATTTCAATGTTGGTCAACGGGCAGGCCTTCCTTTGGATTCTTTGAATCATCGAGAGGATTGAAGCAAGGTGATCCCCTATCTCCCACAGTGTTCATCATGCGGAGGTGCTAGCGAGAAGTCTTAACAGACTGAATAATGATGTGAATTTTAGAAAATTTGGCATGCCTAAATGGAGCAAAGAAATTAATCACCTATCATATCATATGCAGATGACACAATCTTATTTTGTTCGGGGCATGAGAGGTCGATGAGGAAAGTGATGAAAGTGTTGAAGAGATATGATTATGTATCGGGGCAACTCATTAATCTCACAAAGAGTTAGGTATATTTGCATGAGAATGTGCTGATTGCTGTTTGAATTACTGGTATTTCTCAAGGAGCTTTTCCATTTACATATCTTGGATGTCCTATATTCTATGGGAGGAAAAGGATAGCACACTATGAAGATCTCATAAAAAAAAGTGACAAAACGTGTGATGGGATGCAGAATAGATTGCTAACATATGGAGGGAGGTATGTTTTAATAGCTCATGTTCTACAATCAATGCCTATTTAGTTATTATCAGCAATGAATCCCCCTAAAGGGTAAGTGGATTAGATTCACAAGATATTAGCTAAATTCTTTTGGGGACATATAAGAGGAGTTAAAGGGAAACATTGGGTTGTATGGGATTTATTATGCTTGCCTAAGGATGAGGGTGGTTTAGGATTTAGATCGCTCCATGATGTTTCAGATGCTTTGTTTGCTAAACTCTGGTGGGTATTCAGAACTTCCACCAATTCCCTATGGAGTGAATTCATATGGAATAAATACTGTAAAAAATGGCATCATATTATGGCTCAGGGAATTGGAGCCTCGCATGTGTGGAAAAAAATGATTAAAATCAGGGAAGATGTAGAACATAATATGTGGTGGCATATCAAATCGGGAGATGCGAGCTTCTGGTATGATAACTGGACAAAGCAAAGGGCATTGTATTATGTTGAAGAGGGCAAAAGAAGGCAAGAGGAGATGGAAGTCACAAGTTTCATAGTTGGAAATCAGTGGGACAAGGACAAACTATTAAACTATGTATCAGAGGAAATGACTGAGCATATTATGACCACGATATCGCCGGAAATCAGTAGTGGAGATTAGGACAAACCATGGTGGATGAGCAATGCAAATGGGTTTTTTTCTGTAAAATCGGCATGGGAAGTTATGAGGAAGAAAAGAGAAAGGGAAGAAAAATATGCTTTAATATGGATGAAAGGGCTGCCTTTTAAGATCATTTTTTTCCTATGGAGATCATGGAAAGGGAGGATTGTCACTGATATGATAATTTGAGGAGGATGAGAATTAATATTGTATCCCGATGTTGGTGCTGTGAAACACAACAAATAGAAACAATGTCCCACTTATTCCTAACCGCCTACATAGCCCAAAAGTTGTGGAGGTACTTTGCTTCTTGTGTAGGTCTGGACATAAAAGGAAAAAATCTAATACAGACAACCAAGTGTTGGTGGTACGCTGAAGCTCCTAGCAAACTTAGGTCAGCTTTGATATTGTAGAGTCTATAGAAAAGAAGGAATCATATTAAGCACGGAGGACAGTTGCATTTTGAAGGACTGGTGCAGCAAGTGACAAAGCAGATACAAATGTTGATAATGGGGAAAAGTGCAGAAATTAAAGTAACAGGGAAGTCTTGGTCTGAGATGGTAACAATACTAAGAACGTACAAGCCTAGACTTTATTACTACATTGTAAAATGGAAACCACCGGATGTGGGTCATGTAATACCGATGGAGCAAGTAAAGGAAATCCCGGAGAAAGTGCTTATGGATTTTGTTTTAGGGACAGGAATGGGGACATACTTCATGCTCAAGCTAAAGGAATAGGATTTGCTACCAATATAGAAGCTGAGGCGAGAGCAATACAAGAAGCTTTGAACGTAAGTGCTACGAAAAGTTATCAGAATCTAGTGATTGAAACAGATTCTCTAACTTTAGAAGTGTCTTAAAGCTCACAAGATAGCTGCAATTGTTAAGAGAACAAAAAAAAACACAAGAGAACAGTATACTCTAACAACTTTCCAGTTTGCTAATTGAACAGACTCTTACACTCATATTGCCAATTTTTTAGCACATCATCTTTTATTTTCCAGAGACCAACCTAGCTAGGAACTGAAAAGAGGAAAAAGTTTATAACATCAAGACTCAATTGCACAAATTTGGCACAGCTAAAAGCTCTCACTCAATTTTAACATCAAAAACATCTTTCCTCTCTTCTTGCTTCACCTTTGGAACCGCTACCTTCAACACTCCATTCTTCATCTCCGCCTTGATTCCATCCAATTTGTACATATTTTGAGGAATTTCTAGTCTAGTAGAGTACCTCCTTCTATACTCTTCATTCTCTGACTCTTTCTCGCCTTCTCCTTTGATTATCAGTGTGTTCTCCTCCACCGCCACCTTTACGTTCTCTTTATCGAGACCAGGCATGTCCATTTTTATATACAGAGCGTTATCGTCCTCCTTCACGTCCCATCCTCTTCTTGCTCCAACTCCGGCGCCCATAGCACGCGGTGCAGCTACAAATGGAGAATCCATCATTTGGTCCATCATGTTCAGCAGCTGGCTCACGCTTCTAATTGGTGTTGAAAATGGATCAAATACATCTGTCAAACCAAAAATTCCAAATGAGTCCACTTAAATAATAGTGTAACTAGTTTAACAGATCCGACTTGTTATTATCATACACTAAATCACAAATCTGAAGAAATACATTTGTAAAACCAAATTAAAGTCTAAACGAGTCTAAAAGTACAGTAGTTTCTAGTTTAACAGTAACAAAGCGAACTAATTGTCATACTGAAAATCACAAATTTGAGTAAAACAGAGATTGGAGAAGTAACCTGAGAATAAACTAGGGAAAGCATCGCGGCGAGAGACAGAGCGATCGGACCGGCGGTCAACATCAACACCGCGATCATCCTGGTCATAAGCTGCCATCTGAGTGTTAGTATTGAATGAACGGAAAGCAGATGCAGAACGAACAGGATTGACGAGCCTGTTGAAGAGTGATGAGGCGGTGGCCCTCCTGAGAGCAAGTGAAGTTGCCATTTCTGCTATCAAAGATTTCTGAATAACTTGCCGATTGAGTAAGCTTCACGTTGTGTTTTTGTTGGATAAGGATGACAAATGAGAATGTGGTGCTTGGGTTTTATATTTTGTTAGTGACTTGGAGAAGGGGAAAAAAGGACTCGAGAAACTCATAGAAGCATCATGTAGAAAGTTCCAGAATTGTGGCGTGAGGATTTATCAAGACGTTTCTAGAAGCTAGTAGACAATAGACATAACGCTTCCGGATTTTTCAAATTACTAAAGTATTATGTTCTCAACTTTTCATTTAATTTTTATTCATAAATATAAAAAATGGGCAGTTTAAAGTTAAATGTTACTCTCTTTGTTTCAATTTATGTGATACTTTTAGTTGTTCGAGATCAAACAGTTTAAGTTTGATCGGAAATTTGCTCATGAAGTCTTCTATTTTTTCAAAATGAAATTTATATATTTATAAACTACGTAAAAAGTACTATAAGTCACAACAATTGATAATTTAAAATGTTTAAAAGATCTATAAAAAATTTACAATCAAAGTTAGATTTGTTTGAATCCGAAAAGTGTCATATAAAATGGGATGGAGGGAGTATTAAATATAGAAATATGTACCAAATAAAAAGGAAAATAAAGCATATAAATTGAGACAAAGGGGTATTAAGATTAAAACATAAAATTCTCTCCTTTTCAATTTATGTGAAGCAGTTCGAATTTACACAAAAATATACAAAGGCTTTGTAATATTAATGTATGCCTTTATGTAATTTCTTTATCAAATAAGTGAGACTTAACATGTCGATAGTGTCTTTAAATATTTATCAATTAAAATATTAATGAAAGTCATTTACATCCTCAACTTTGATTTAAAAATCTAACTTGTCCCTTAACTTTGCAAAAAATAGTCATTCTTCTCCCTTTACCTTAATTGACTTTTTAAATGTTTGTTCTACCTTACATTATCAAATGTTTTGATTGAAGTATGATTTTGAACCATCATACTTGAAGTATTCAAAAAAGCTCGTTCACATTTACAGAAAGTAGAAAGAGAAGCCGAGCAGATTCCTCGAGGACAAACGATTGATTTACCTATTCATAACAATTTACGATCCAACACAAGAGAAACTACGAGTTATATAAAACTATAATATAGGCCAATTGAAAGGTTCTAGCTGCACAAATTTTTCCTACTAAAGGCTGCAGCTAACTAAGACAATGTGAGAATTGCTGCTATCACCGGCCACAATCTCCTTTTTTCACTGATCGATTCTGTAGAGTCGAGATACAAATGTAAAATGACTGATCATCTGATGAATGCTCATGACTTTTTGAGAATGTACCCCAAAAGTATTCCCAGCAAGCCAACCACGACGATAAGGATGAAGGAAACGCCACCTCTGCGACTTCTAGTCATATCACGTTTTACAAGTTCCTACAGAAAGGATTCATGAAGTAGAGCATTGTGACTAAAGGATAACAAACAGTCAGACCCAAACTGTTGAAAGCAGACATTGTTTAAAGTTTAAAGCACAAGAATGAGACCTGGACTAATCAGGAGAAAAGAAAAAACATAACCAAAGATGGGAAAGGATGACAGTTAAATGAATGACAGAAAAGCATTGGAATTTTAGGCGACATGAAAAAGACATCAAAGAAACAAAGATAAAAGCTCACCAGCTCTTGACGAAGTTTGATACTCTGCTGAAGGGCAGCAGCCTTTTCAGCCATCAATCTGGAAATAACCGATTTTGCCTGAAATTTACAACGTTCCGTTTAGTCATATCAACTGTAATAAGAAAGCAGGCCTATATATCCTTTTGGACATATTTTAGATTAACTCCAAGCATCAAACGATCAAAGGAATCTAGAAGGACATAAAGCCTGAGTTGCTAGATGATAAATAGTAGGCGTTCTCACTTTTCAACAACCAAGGAACTATTAACGCATACCAAGTGGACCCAAAAGGTCCTACGCTGATAGTAGTCCATTCCAGAAGTGGGAAAATTAGGAAAGGGGAAACAGAAAAGCCTTTGCTGAAGAAGGGGAACATAATTGAAGCAAGTAATCCAATTGGAAAGCCAATCGGGAATTTTAATCCTATGTCTCCTTCCCTCATTTGTTCTTAGTAGACATAACATAATGCAACCACATACCTTAAGAAGTGCTTTCATCTGATGGATGCTTAACCGACAAACACATTAAATACATGACAGCTTTGTTCATTCACTTTTTAACAAAGCAAACGGTGAAAATAACCAAGTCAGCACTATGTCAACTAGACACCAGTATCACTGCCTCATACACCAAGCCATCTTTGGATTTACGTCCTGTAGTTAAGTCAAGTATTGCACCTTTTTTGGTTTTGATAAAGGAGTTAAATGTATAAGAGAAAGTGAGATGGTAGTACAAATCTAGCAGCCACTTACCCAAAATAGGACCAAAAAGCAAGTGCACTAATATGCACACTAATTTTAGCTATAGGGTAAAAAGGGTAAGTAAACGAGGAAGGCCAATTGGTCATTGCCCTCATTCTACAAGGAAGGAAATGAGGAAGTTTTGGATAAAAAGGAGAGGAAGTATCTATTTCACGACAACCTTCTGATTGCAACTATACCCCAGAATGACTGATGCTCCACCTAGGAAGTAATTTACCAGTGAACTTCCCTCACTTATCTTTTCCTTCTACTTTTCGGAACCATACATAGCATAAAAGAATGAGGGAAGAAATGTAGAATTAAACATGAAAAGAGTGATATTCACTTAATTGCATCATCCACTAGATTTCAAGATAAAGAATGTTTGAAGAATCAACACTGGAGAAAAAACCTAAAAATATTTAATAGTCCATCTATCCCAATTTGTTTGGCATTGTTTGACCAGACATGAAGTTTCAGAAAGAAAAAAAAGATGTTTGAAACTTAACCCATTTATGAATAAACTACCAAAGTACCCTTGTACCAAACACTGTCTTGTATCTGGTGGAGCCAACAAGAAGTCATGTCAATGGTAAAATTAGTAGATACATTCTGAATATTTTTTGGGGATGGACAAAAATGGAAAGAGTATCAAACAAATTAGGAAGGTTAGAATAATAAATTAGAAGTTCTTGCATAAACAAATGATATGTCATAGTTGCATAGACCTAGTTATCAAGATGAATAGGTGATTATGACTGTAATACCACATGTTTCTACCATCTATCTCAGCTTATCAATTGCTCGAAGCAAAATAATTCCATGGACTAATTAAGAAAAGAAAGCAACTGTGCTAAACCAGCTTGTTCACAGCTCAATGTCACATGGGATAATATGAAAATTTATAGTCCGCTGGTAACTTGTGGGACTATACTGGGTATGTTGTTGTTGTATAGTCTGATGGTTTCTCAAAGAGAACTTGTTCTAAGATAGCTTTGGGACATTACTGGTACCTTAGCAGCCAGCAGACCAAATGAGTGATCAAGTTCCAAAGTTATACAAAATGATTTTGACCTTAACATATTTGACATCTTGGGAGAGAAAACTAGTGAAACAGATATTTCAGCATGGTAGACTTCTATTACTGATATTCTTGAGTGGAAATGTAAAAACTTGAAACTAACTGAAAAGAGGTCAAGGATAAAGCTAGTTCTTTCTGAATTATAGTTCAGCCAAAGAATTTAAATATCCTTTCTGATGTGAACAACAACCATAAGTTTACGTTGCTAACACCATTCTACCATACAAGTCGTTAGCAGGAGCGGTTAGATCCCAACAACACACTACAAATTGCAATTTCGCTTAAAATCTTCTACCATAATATAAATGTAAGGAAAATGTCATGAGAAAATCTTAACTTTAAGAAGGCAATACCAATTGTTAGCAGGAGGTGTAGATCCCAACAACACCCTTCTCTCTCGTGTTAATCAAACCACTATCAGCTTCCTATACCAAAGGAGCATTCATGCTTTGTAGCTTTAGAGATATTTTGGAAGAATCAGTGTTCTTGTAGCCACGACATATTGTGTCTAATGTTGACACCATCAAAATCGTATCTTGCACATCTAAGATATTTCTGAATTATCTAGCTCATTTGTGCTATTTTTATCCACATATGACATTTATACAAGGACATAGAATAAATATGGTCAGTGTTCTTGTAGCCACGACATATTGTGTCTAATGTTGACACCATCTGTAACGACCCTAAAAATGAAATAGGAAGAACTAGAGCCTCACATGTGTATTGAAGTTGGTAACTTGATTAAATAATGTAAATCGGCTTTTTGAGTTTAGTTCAAAGAGATTTGGGGTCCGTAGATGCTGCCAATTTTTGACATTTTAATTTTTAGTTGGGGCTTTGGGAATTAATTAGTTATTAGATTAAGGGCTTAGGGGGTCGGTTAGGAGTAATTAAATGACTTATATAAGGTATTAAGTCTTTTAACAAGTCATTTACTCTCTTTTCCCAAAATCAAAATC